CTCCGCGGACTCACCAGCCGCCTTGGCGCGCGGGCCTCGCCACCTCCGAGCCCGGCTCCCGGGGCAGAGGAGGGGACACCAGGGACAGACCCGGGAGTGGGCGCCCACGACCCAAAAAAACCGGCGGCTTTCTCCTCTTTCTAAGCTCTCGGGGAGCTCTGACCCAGGGCGGCGAGGCAGCGGACCAATATTCAGAGTTTTCTCGGGGACTTATTTTTAAATTCTATGTTTAAGTTTTTCCCCTCTGGAAAAGTGCAGAGGCCCGGCGAAATGTCCCCGGCGGGTGCGCTCCGCTCCTGCCTCCCGAAGACCCGGCTCTCCCGTTCCCGGCTCCAGAGAACGGGGAGGACCCGGACGAAGGGATCGAAACCCCGGAGCTAGTGAGCAGAGGGGGCCGAGGGGACCATCCACGACCCCGGAGGATCCCGGCTGCTCTGGGCCTGGTGCGAGGGCCAGGAGCGTGGCTGGCAGAGGCTACAGAGAGGGAGCCCTAAACTTTGCGAGCAAAGCCAAAGAGTTTGGGGTTTTCTCATTCGGGTGGGAAATAGATTCACTAAAAGCCCAAACGAAGAAAAACTAACCCACAGTTCAGGCTGGAATGGAGGCCGATCTAGTCAAGGGAGGAAGGGGAACGGTTGTTTTTGTTCTGTTTTTTTAAATGAGGGGCGGGGTGGCGTGTACCCGGTTCTGAACTCCGGCAGGAACGCGAAGGGTTAATGAATGGACCAGCCGCTGGGTATCGATCTGCGGCCGCGGGGGGTCGGTCTTTTCCCGGCTCCCAGCGCTACACTAATTCCTCGCCTCTTTTCCCGGAGTTTTAACTTTGTTTCTTCCACTCCCACCCAGAGAAAAAAAACAAACAAACAGAAATAGCAAGAAAGGAAAACACCCAAACAGAATTTTCTCCAGCCCTGGCGAGACTCGGCTCATTTCTCTTAAAAGAAAAAGAAGTAAATAAATAAACAAACAAAACCCAGACGGAACCAGCCTCCCGATGCGGCCGCTCGGAGCCCGGATTGAAAGGGCCGAGCCTCGGCGGTTTCAATCCGCGCGGGTTCCCGCCCCTGCGGGGCCTCCAAAAAGCAGGAAAACACACACACACACAAATCCCTTGATTTTGCCCTGGGCGCGCGGGAAAAAAACAAACCCCTTGATTCTGCCCCGGGCGCGCGGGTCCCCTCGCCGCCCCAAGAAAGTCAGAGACCGAGAAGTCACGGGTCTGGGCGGAAGGGACGCGGAGCGGGCGGCGAACAGGGTAGAGCGCAGTAGAAGGCGTCCAGTCCTCGCCCCTTGGAGCCAAGGTTGCGAGGGCATCGCCGAGAAGACGCGGAGCCTGGGCACCCCGCGGGGTCCGGGGCTCCTGGGCTGCCTGCCTTGACCCGAGAGGACTCGGAACCACCAGCGTTCGCAGTCCAGTCCCAAACCGGGCCGCAGCTTTGGGAGC